GGTTGACAACCAAAAAAAAAATTGTTCGGAAGTGGACACACTTAAGTGCAATACCGCCATATATAATGTAAGTTTTACGCCGGAAAGAAGCACGTGGATCTTAGTGGTACATTAAACTGTAAACGTCTAGGTTTTCTAAAAAACGAAATTTTTCAGGAACAAGAAGACCCACTAAATTTAAACAGACCGCGAACACGGTTAATTCAGCTGCAAGGCAATGAAGCAAATGCTAAGAAGTCAATTTGCAATTTCTGCTTTTTATTCACGCATGGCTAACCATCATATTGGTATCCTTTTGAGTGGAAAAGCACAGAAGATGACCACTGACATGTATTCAAAACTATGAGGGGGGATCCCTATGCCTTTTGTAAACTGAACAATCATAGGACCGCAAATAACGCGGGAGTTCTAATCAAAAAAATATTGTTCTATCGCCATAACAAAGTAGCGAATTATTTTTTGTAAAACCTCTTTCTGAACTTACAAACTTCTAAAAATACGGTAAAAACTTCACCTCATAAACGTTTATATTTCAATCAGATTTTGAACAGCAAATAAAAGCTGGACGACTGACGCTTTAGTAGCATTTAAACTGATCTGGCTGCAGTCATCATTGAGCGCCAAGTGGCATATGCGATTGTCCGGTTAATTTTGTAAGGAACTGGAGTGGAGTACTGGAAAGTTATTGTGGTGGCGCTGGTGAAGCATGGGAGCAGCACGCAATGTAAAGGAGAACAGTATCGGATAAGACAGTCACCAATTCCAATGGATACTTCGTACAAGGCTTTTCTACTTGGTTTATCAATCAGTATGGCAAAGACCTAAATTATGCTTTCTCCACTCTTCCATTGTTTTCCTCCCAGTTTTAAGCCTGTCGCTTCTTTGGTTGCACAAAGAAAGACTTCAGCACAACAAAAAACTCCATTTCTGAAACCCCGGCTTTACGAAAGGATTTCTGTTGCAATTTTCATATAATCGAGTTTCCGCTGTAACTTACTTTTAATAGTTTGGAACTGATGAGAGGACAAACTGTTGTTTATTGTGTCAAATACATAATAAACGATTATCTGGTGCGCACGCTACGTCCTGTTCTGTCCCGCTTGTCGTCCAGCTAATTCATTTTGTTGATTGAATAACGCTTACAAACCAGTTTCTTTCTTTCTTATTTTTTATCACTCATTATGCTCAGTTTTACTACCGACTTGGGAATGCATATATCGATGGATAGATGAAAAAGTTAGCAATTTCGCATATTTGTAGCATCCTTTTTAGATATGATTTTACGCAAAAATTAATACTTTGGTGTTGTAACACTCGACTATGTGTATTGTTTCCACCCAACTGAAAGGCTCATAGTTTAATCACCAGTGAGTTACTTTAGTGATCCGTCGTAACTAAAAATGAAACATTTTTTTGGCTTTTTATTGTCTGTCAAATAAACCCTTAAATTTACTGTTGATTGTTTTTTTTTTCTTTGTCTTGCAGCAAACCTTACCAACCTTCCCAGTTTTCCACTAAAGAAAACAACTACTAGCGTTTCTGAGAAAACTTGGCCTCAACTGTGTCCCCTCAAAAGTGAGTGGCGTTACGCTTGCCAGAGCCGGCTAGTGGAGTCACCTGCAATCTATGGTTTGCTTTAGGGACTGTTTGAGCCAAAGTCAGCAGAACTTTGACGCGGTTTGTCATAGACGCAGAAAGAAATCTTCAGCACATCTACAAGTCATTTATTGCAAGTGGGAATGCAGTACGTCGGGAAAATGAGGAATCCAGTTTGTTCTTTACGTGTGCAAAAATTTTATAAAAAGAACGGCGAAGGAAATTAGCGAAGTGTTGAACCACTTGTACTGATCTTATCACTGAATTGGCAAAGGGGAAAATTTAGATAAGCTTTTAGCATTAGTCGACTCGCAAGCAAACAGTTTTTTGAGGGTTTCAAGACAGGATGATTACACTATCATAAACTGCACCGCTGATACATCATTTGTATCACTCTGCAACAAGCTATGCAGCTTTTTCATTTTCACTTACATTTCTGTAGTTGCAAAAGCTGATCAAGTGGCGGATCACCGATTGGAGGCGACTAAAGAAGATCAACCGAAGAAATTTACGGCGCAAAATCGCGCAATCCTGCGCGAAAGGTAACATGGTACCCGAATGAGATGTC